CTCTCGTCCAGAAGAGCATCGTCAGTGATCAATTAATGGACTCAAGGAACCTTAGCTCTTTTTGAAAAGCTCAGCCGGGATGGCCCTGGTTAGTAGTTGGATAGGAGACAACCAGGAAAGCTCAGGGCTAGACTGGGAAGCTGAAAAGCATCTCAGCCCTTCAAAATGGCTGCTAAGAAAACCACATGGACATACTTGACTTGAAAGAGAGTTTACCTTTTTAAGTTAAAAAAAGGACTGCAGTCTAACATTGCTTCTGAGTAGACTCAGAAGCGAGCTGTGCCAAATCCATTAGGACTTACTTTCCTGTAAGCTTGCACAATACCTTTGTATAATAAGGCCTCAGGTCCTCACTGCATTTATTTGGGAGAGACCAAATGGCAGACTTCTTCCTGAGCGCGTCTGCCTGTGTGTGTACCGTGTTGTGTTGGAAAACATAGGAACATGAAACCCGAGTGAGAACCTGCTTTCCTTGTCAAACCCTACATGCCTGGAGCAATTCTCCTGTCTCTAGAAATATTTCAACAGTGCCAACTTTAATTAATGAAGCTGCACAAGGGAAGATCCCTATCACATCTCAATGAGAACAAAAGAAACTCTTGAAAGCTTGAAAGAAAGCAGATTTTCTGGGGGGACCCTTACGTTTGACTTAAAAGGGCTCCCCTCTCCCCAACCATCCTTTCTGAACAGGGGAGATGAAGCCAATTAACAGCTTTAATGAATTCGGTAGAGTTACAATAGAGAAAGATTAATTTTGGCAGGAACCAGCTGGGTTTCAACATTATCTATCCCAAAGGCAGGGAACACAAACAGTGCCTTGCAGGTGCTTTGCCGGCTCCCCACTGCACCCCCTAGGCGGGGTGGGGCAGCTGTTGGAAGGGGAGATGGAAAGAAGATGATTTAATGTTGTGTGGCAAGCAAAGCAAGCCTCATGGGGTTCGTGCAGATGGATGCCCCCCCCCACCTTCCTTGTCTCTTATTGTGGTTATTATTTCAAAGGAAGGCGTTGCCAGGATGAGTGCAATCTGAATCAGGACAAGGGTGGGACCGAGGGTGGCTTTATCACTTGGCCCAGCAAGCCCTGATCGTGATCTTGCTTCCTTTGGGTGGCTACTGAGCAACAACTGGCTGGCCTTGATGTGCGGAGGGCGGGCTGGAGAATCCGGATCGGGTTGGGCTAAAGCCCTGGAGGCTGTCTGCTGGGATCGCGACCCAGAGTCTTCCTTTTCTAGAACTATTTTACGTACATTATACCTATATTGAGGGTTGGTCCCTTGATGTGAAAAGCTAGAAGGTCAAACGAGATGTCTCTTTGAAGATGTGGGATTATCTCAATGATTATCTTTCACCGAAGGGTAGCCTCAAGAGGCTGCAGGTAGCCCTCCAAACTTAGCCCACCTTAAAAAGGCAAGGGAGGTTGAGCTGATTAGGACTTCCATAGCAGACTTCCAGGAAACTTCAAGGCTGTGGACTACCCAGTGAAGTTTAGAAGCAAAACTTTTTGGAATAGGGATGGGGTGTCTGCAGGGCATGGTCAAAAAAAGACAAGATGAAAAGGCCAGAGCTTCAATCACACCGTCATGGCCATCATCTTCACTCTTTTGACCACCCCCTGCAGACACCCCTGTTTTGGAAGAAGACAATGTCAAGCCACTTGGGTCTACTTGCCAGGAAGGCCACATGGATGTGGCCAGGAATTGAACTCGACTTGAGTTTTATCTTCAGTAGTTATGATTGTGGGCAGAAGAGTAGCAGAGGTGCTTCGTTTGAGATGAGACCTTTTCCCATCATTTATGGTACACCATTGCAATGGAGATCTCCTATGCTGTAATCAGCCATTCAACCCAGCATGATCCAGGTGTGGGGTGCTTGCCCCTCTGGTTGGACGTTCCAATCCCGGCACATCTGGAAGCCTGCCTTAATCTCCTCAGAGACCCGATCTCAGGTCCTTTGCATTGTGTTTCAGAGAAAACAACTATGGTTATTGGCTGCATCATTACTCCAGTGTAGGGCATGAATTGAGTAGGCACCTCTGCTTGGTCCCCTCCTCAGGATTTCAACAGGTTGCGATTCCTCCTCCCTGCACATTTTGGCTGCTGTTTTTGCTAGTGCAACTAATGAAGTGCAACTCACCGTGTATCCTTTTCTTCCTCGTCTGGTGATTTTTGTCTCTTTTGATTTTGCTTTTTGACCCCTTTTAAGATGCTCCCCTTTGTTCCTACGCCAAGATTTCGGCTTGCAATCCAGGGGCAGGAAAGGTTCTGTCTGGAAGCGATTGAACGGAAGATTCTTAATCCTTGCCTCTTTTTGCCTTTTGGCTGCAATGTCCAGACCGTCTTTTGTGGTAGCGGCTAGACGGAAGAAGGAAAAAAGGGAATATTCTGCAAAAAAGCATCAAAGCAGGCTTCTGTTGGGGGAGATGGAGGGGTGGGAACTCTCAGCTCTTTATGCCCAGCCAGGCTGCTTAGAATTAAGCAGGACTGGCCGTTCCTTCAAAACCCAGCGGAAATTGTATCTTTTTTTTTTTTCCTCTCGGGCATCAAATGCTCAGGAAAAGATAGACGATTGTTTTGCAAAATCAAAGCTGCCTCCACATAAGATGTGCCTCAAATGCAATGAGGGTTCAAGAGGAAAACACTGATTTTTTTTTAAGAACAAACAAACAAGAAATATTGACCTGGGTTTGTTCTTCATGCCAGTTGCTCTGAAGTGGGGAAACGCTTCACCTGAGTGGCTTGAAAATGTGTATTGCCCTTGCCCAGATTTTTTTTTTTCAAAGAAATCTTAGCAGCCTATTCTGGGGGACTAGACTAAATAGATCTATTTTCCTTGGGGTAGAAATGAACGGCTCCATGTTAGCCTCAGTCCAAGGTTGGGGCGTGTGAGTGGCGGGAGGCAGAAGAATCAGACTTCTCCAACCTGGTGCCCTCTAGTGGTGGCGGGTGTAAGTCCCATAATCCACAGTGCAGTCTCATGGCTGTAGGGAACCCTAAACTGAAGCCAATAAAGTGCTATAATTTTTTTTTGTTTTTGCAAATACACTTAAAATCCACTTCATTTGTTGAGGCACCTGGCGCTTTTCTATCTTCTATCTATCTTCTATCTTTCGCCGCTCCTGCACTGCACAGACTAAGAAAGGGGGGAAAAATGGCTTTTTTTCTGTTTTTCAGTTCCTAATTTTCCCTTCCTTTCCCAAATCTGCTTTCTCCCATGTTCACTTCTTTCCTTTCTCTTTCTGCCTGTGACTTACCGAGAGATTCAGGAGAAATCTTTTTTCCAGCTAACTTCCTTCCAACTTTGCCTGTCCCAATCATTCTTTAGCATCTGTAAGATGGCCAAAAGATCCTGAAATGTTTTCCAGAGAGGTTGGTCAAGATGGCACAGAAAAAGGCGGGGGGGAGGGTGCTGTCCTCCCACGTACTGTGCAAAACGTACCTGCTTTGGTGGCATTTGGGACGTGGGACTTAGATTCCTCCCAGCATTTTGCATGGATGTGCACTTTTCAAAGCAGGCAATCAGGGGTGAAAGCAGAGAAGGGCGGGGAAGAATGAGTTGCTATGGGCCAAGGAATATTTCCATGCCAGCCCTGTTCCGGGTGTCAGTTTGGACCCACGGTTGTTTTATTGCTCCACCGTTGCGTCCATCCCTCTTCCTTGCCGCCTACATCTTTTCTCAGATGAAAGCCATTGTTTTTTGACAGCCCAAAATGTGACAGGCGCTTGGAATAACTCAACTTGCTTGGCAGTTTTGGGTCAAGCCCGACTGCATTGTTGTAGTAAAGTTGTAACTCAGCCAAGCTTACAGAAGGGTGCCCACTAGAAATCTTATCATGTCCGTCCCCGTACAAGAAAGTTCTTACTTGGAATGATAATAGGGTTGTCTGACATAAAACTGCAAAGAATGGTCTGTGTGCCGGGCATTGATTCAGAGACCGTATTTGTTTAAAGTTCAAGGACAAACAACTATTCAGGACCCTTTTTTATCCTCTGCTGTGAAGTGAAAATTAATCACCTTGTCAGTGGAAGGAGGAGGAAGAAAACTAATCTGAAAGCAAACAGGACTTGATTGCATAAGAACCTGAGGAAAAATGGAGAACCTTTTCTGTTGGTTACTTAGAAACTCTCCGTAATGCTACATACATTACTTGCCTTAAAATAAATATCAGGTGATTGCACCACGTAATAATATTCCTCAGCAAGAAATGCACAATCCCCTGATTTAGGAAGAAATGCAACTCTATTGCAGTGTTTTTCAATTAGGGACCTACATGGCACGTTTCGCAACACAAACCTGAGACAATTATGTTCTTTGATGCTCAGTTATGTTAGCTAAAGTCGGTTGTGGTGCCAAGATGATTCGGAGAGTTAGTAGCAAAATGATCTGGCTTGAAAACGTTGGATGTATGATCAATGTGTTATTTGGTAGGGCAGAAGAGACTTTTGTAAATGAGGTGATTCATCTTAAGAAGATCTGCACAATTTGAATTCTACTAAGTTGGCTCCTGAATACTCCTACTTTTATTTGTGAAAACAACCATCTCCTTTTCTGATCCTTATCTGGTGGGTGGGGACATACACGTGAATGAGGAATCTAAAAAAATTCTTTACTACGAGATGGCTTTTCTTCCAATCTGCAGCATATTTGACTGTTGCACTGTGCTGAAGACTTGTTTAGGCGGTTTTGGCCTTTTTAGAATTGTTCAAATGACATGTAGAAGACACTCAACCCAAACTGTATGAGTTTTAATATTTTGAAAACTCCGCTGGGTGAAAAGGGTTAGTGACGTCGCTGGTTTCCAGCCCATCAATGCTGTCCACTGCTAGCTTTGGTGAGGGAGCGTCCTTCGGGGTGGTTTATCTTTAAACTGTCTTTGAATGTATGAAGGTTTGGAAGAAATGAAAAGGAATTGGTGGGATCCGCAGAGTGAAATTGGCTGTTGGCCTTTCTTGCTGCCAGACTCGTATCAACTGGACTTCACCAAGATTCTTTGTCCTTTTCAGATGTTCGGTTGTGGGTCCGTGGCCCAGATCGTGCTCAGCAGAGGGAGCCATGGACGTTTCCTGACGGTCAACCTGGCGTTTGGTTTTGCCGTGACGCTTGGAATTCTGATTGCTGGACAAATCTCAGGTACAGGGACTTTATTTAAGTAAGAGACGCCCAGCTTATGTCCCGTGACCCTGGGCAGCTCACGACCACAGCAATAAAGAAAAGAGACAATAAAAAACAGCATCCAAAGAAACAATTCAGAGCAGGGCTCTAGAACAGCTCGCCTCCATACATCCACGTTCAGTTTCACTGGGCTCCAGCCTCATCTCATCCCAACGCCCCGGGGAAAAGCCACCGTTCGAAAGCCTTCTGGAAGGCTAGAAGGGTGGGAGCTTGCTGGATTGCATAATCCCTGAATGTATGGGTGGGTGAGTTGGGAGTGGTCATCTTGGCCGATCTGAAGAGTATTGCGTTGACAAAGGATGTTGTAACTGATCTCTGAATTTTCTGGTTGGATTATGACAAAAAAAAAAATAATAATAATCCCAGATGAAATTGAGAGTCACTTTGGTCTAGTGGTGAAGGCCCCAGGCTGGAAAGCAGGAGACGGTGAGTTCTCCTCCTGCCTTAGGCATGAAAGCCGGCTGGGTGACTTTGGGCCAGTCCCTCTCTCTCAGCCCAACTCACCTCACAGGGTTGTTGTTGTGGGGAAAATAGGAGGAGGAAGGAGTGTTAGGTATGGGTTGTTGTTGTGGGGAAAATAGGAGGAGGAAGGAGTGTTAGGTATGGGTTGTTGTTGTGGGGAAAATAGGAGGAGGAAGGAGTGTTAGGTATGGGTTGTTGTTGTGGGGAAAATAGGAGGAGGAAGGAGTGTTAGGTATGTTCGCCACCTTGAGTCATTTATAATAATAAGAAAGGCAGGATTAAAAAAAAATAAAAAATAAAGGCTGACATGGATAATAAGCAATAAACAATGTTCCTGCCCTGGGCAGGGGTTGGCTAGGTGATCTCCAAGGTCCCTCCCAACCTTTATATGTTATGATTCGATACATAAATATCAGATTAGGTCCATTCTACAGATGTGCTTAAGGTAGTGATTGGCATATGCTTCCCCTCCCTTCCAGCAACTTATAAAAAAATAGTTGTTTGATTTTCTTTCTTGTTTTTCTCATGAAAGGATGGGATACAGGGAGGTTCAGCCTCTGCCAAATTTAAACGTCCATCCAGGCCTCCCCCAGACAGGCTGAACATGGCCGCTGGGTGCCTCATGGTGAACCAGTGAGGACATTGCCATAGCCCTGGGACCGTTGGTTGTTGGAAGGAAGTCATCCAAGATGGACCGTAAAGGTCTACTCTGACCGATCAGGCCAATATTCTAGAGAGCAGGGGCTGGATGGGGGGAGGTTTCTTTAAGAAAAGATGGTCATCACAACTGCCATCTTGACTTTTTTTGACCCCCGGGGATGTTCTTGGACTGGACTTTCAGACTCTTTAACCAGGTTGGCTTAAGAATCAGTGGCTGCTTTGGTACAGCATAAGATTGCTTAATGTTAATTGTGGCTTGTTTTGGGGCAGAGGGGTTTAGGGTGGGGCACAGCTCCAGTGCTTTTGTTAGTTTATGGTTTAATGCTTCTCAGTGGTGGATTGGGACTCTTCAGGGGTCACCAACAGCCTAGCAAAAAACCTCTCTTCTCTTCTCTTCTCTTCTCTTCTCTTCTCTTCTCTTCTCTTCTCTTCTCTTCTCTTCTTAAGAATCAGCTTAAGAATCAGTGGCTGCTTTGGTACAGCATAAGATTGCTTAATGTTAATTGTGGCTTGTTTTGGGGCAGAGGGGTTTAGGGTGGGGCACAGCTCCAGTGCTTTTGTTAGTTTATGGTTTAATGCTTCTCAGTGGTGGATTGGGACTCTTCAGGGGTCACCAACAGCCTAGCAAAAAACCTCTCTTCTCTTCTCTTCTCTTCTCTTCTCTTCTCTTCTCTTCTCTTTTCTCTC